TATATAACATTATAAACAAATTTTAGTTTGGTTCATGGACATATGGTGGTGATAAATTAGATTTACAACCTGGAAAAGGCGGTTTTGATATTTCAGAATACATGCCAAGTGGTGAATGGGCTTTACCCAGTAAGCATAAAATCATATTTGTTTTATTAAATTAAAAAGAAAACGATGAGTTTTTTGTGTTAAATTCAATCAGTTTTTTATGTTATTAATTCTTCGTGATTAGAAATTGATATTATGCTTTCAGTGACTACCGTATCAAGAACGGTCAAGTTTTATGAATGTTGTCCAGAACCATATCCTGACCTCAAATTTTATTTGCATTTAAGGCGTCGTACATTATATTATGGTTTCTCTCTATTTTTTATTTTTGATATTGTATATTTTAAAAAATAGAGATCTTTGTAAAATTTTGTATTTACAGTTTTGATTTATATATAGAAATTTTAAGTAATATAAAAATTTGTTAATAATGTTCAGTAACAAAATTTTGAGAAAAAAAGAAGTATACCCTTTAAAAATATTAAAAATAGGTAAATTTGTAACTTTTAGGTTTCAACTTAATAATGCCCTGTATATTAACAACGATGATGACATTACTCGGTTTTACACTGCCACCTGATGCTGGTGAAAAGATTACCTTACGTATGTTTTCAATATTATCTGTAAAAATTTATGAGCAAATTTTACTAAACAATTAATTACTGATATTTAACTTCTATTATCATATATTAGAATGAATTTACTGGTAAGATTATTAAAGTGTGGAAAACATATTCCATCTGAAAGATCAATTGTCATTATAATCTCAATTTTTTTCATTAAAAATAAAAAGAAGGAATGATCTAAATTGTTTCTGTAATGAAAGGAAAGTTTACTGATTACGCCAAATAATGCAAAGGTAACCCAATCCAGAAGAACCAAGCACAAATGACGCTGTCATCAAATTTCGTTTTAATTAGAGATGGTATTTAGAGGATGATATTATTTCGGCTACTGTATAAATTAAACCATATCCTCGAAAAAGCAGGAAATGGATATGAAATTGTAATATTAAGTAAATATTAATCTATCACAATAATTCATCATTTCAAATATTAACAATAGCAGATAATTATTAAATTTAAAAAGTTTCATTCAAGTTCCATTGATCAGTAGTTGTTATAAATTTCATATAAATGAGTAAAAAATTTTTGAATTTCAGTAAATGTTAAAATTTTAATATATTAATATCGGAATAAAATTTTCGAGGAAAAATTTTTATATAATACGAGAAAATTTTATACATTGCAGAGATAACAGTGCTCTTATCGATATGTTTCTTTCTCAGCGTGGTTTCCGAAATGTCACCGCCAACCTCAGAAGCAGTGCCACTTTTGGGTTATACATTTCAATATTCCTCCACATTTTTTTTTGCTTAATAATTGAAATGAAATATATTAAATGAAACATATGAAAGAAAAAGGAATAAAAATCTCCAAAAAATCTTATTGCAAATTTTTTTTTTAAATTTCGAATTTAGTCAATAGCATGAAACTAAAATGGATTGGTTAATCGAATAATTCAGTGAATGAAATATCAGTTGATAACCATTAACCATAAATAAATAAAGAATTAATTTAGGATCAACATTTTCTCAACAGATTTTTGTCTGTTAATATCCAATAAAGAGCCAATTGTTTCTAAATTACTAATTCTTAAAAATTTGATTTTTTTAAAATGAGCTCTTGAAACTTCATTCATTTCAAAATAGTCTTATCGTTAATCTTGATAAATGTTTAATTTATCAAGATTAACAATGAATTTAGTACTTATTTCTTTGTTTTTTCTATATTGTTTCAAGAATATTTTTTCAATTACAATTTTTTGCATTTTTTAAAATTATTTTCTCATCCTTTCTTATCTGTAATATTTTACACATATTGTTTAGGAGTGTTTTTTTCTTGTTGTATGATAGTTGTTACGGCGTCAACAGTTTTTACCGTGTACGTCTTAAATTTGCATTATCGAACATCCGAAACGCATGAAATGGGCACTTTGGTTAGTATTTTACGATTTTTATTTTTCTTTTTGAAATAGAAAAAGCAGAAAAAATTTGTTATTTATAAAGTTAATTTGGAATGGAAAAACGCAATATAAATGAATGAATGAATTAAATAAAATGTAAACAAATAGTTGATCGTAACATTTCTAAAATTCATTATTTAAGCAACAAAAAAAAAATGAGGAAATTTTTTTTTCATTTTTCAAAAAAATAAATTAAAAAATATCAGACGAAAACACTGCTACTTTATTGGCTCCCATATTTGCTTCGAATAAATCGGCCAGGAGTTAATTTATCATGGAAAGCATTGCCATCATTATTTCCATGTACAAAGCCAACGACACATAGCGAATCACTTATAAGAAATATTAAAGAAGCTGAATCAGGCTCAAGGTAATCTGTAAATTAAAAATTAAGACAAAACTTATTAGTCAAAATAGTATACGTATTTTATGAAGGTACTATATGGTACAAAATTTGTTGTTGTTTATTGTTACTTTTATGTTTATTTAAGACACACTTCATATTTGTTATTCAATTTTTCAATTTGTCTCTTTCGTTTACTTTTTTTTCCACTTATTTCTCGTTTATTAATAGGAAAATGCTTTAAAAAAGAAAAAGGACGAGAAAAAAATTGGGAAAATTTTTTGAATTATATTTCTTAGAAAATTACATGGGAATGTTTGAAAAATATCAAGTTTTAAATTAGCTTCAAAGGATTGCTAGAAACCTGATAAAATATTATTTTGCAAATATTTCAGGTCTAATTCATTAGATGTTGACTGTAGAGTTTGCCAATATATGAGTGGTATTTCAAATGGTAAAAGTCCCATTTCTACAGTAATTAATGGACCTACATTAAGTCAAACAAATCCATCCATTGATATTGGCCAACAGGCTACTTTGATCATTTTACAACGAATCTATCAAGAACTTAAAGTAAATTTAAAGATTGCAAAACAAAAAAGATATAATAACCACAGAGAGCATAAAATTAATTATTTAATATTGCAGCAAATAGGATTGAAGAAAAAATGAAATATTATTTAGTTGCTTATTCTTTTAAAAATAAAAAAGGGTGACAAAATTTAACAAATTTGAAATTAAAATTTCAACTAATTAAAGATGAGTTTGTATCTAAAAACTTTATTTTTCAACAAAAAAAGAAATATTTTCATAAAAAATGAAAATAACAATTTTTGCAAAATATATTTCAAGTCTTTGGAAACAATTTTTAGAAGAAACAAACAAAATTTGGAGGAAAAAGAAGAAAAAAAAAAGGCATCACTTTTTTTTAGATGATAACGAAACGTATGATCGATGCGGAAAAGGACGATGCAAAAGCAAATAATTGGAAATTTGCAGCAATTGTTGTTGATCGCTTATGTTTGTATATTTTTACAATATTTATTATTGCTTCATCTTGTGGAATATTGCTTTCAGCGCCGTATTTTATCGCTTAAATAAGTTCATTACCATTCATTTGCATAAAATGAAATATATAAAATTTTCATATTTAAATATTGTAAAAATTTCACTAAGAATTCATTTAATAAATTATTTGATGTGGTTTAATTTTAATATTCATAGCATTTACATTAGCAAAACAAATAATTTGTTTAATGATAATAATAAATTGTTATAAAATTGTGATTGCATCAATAACTTATTTGAAAATTGTAATTATATGATAAAATTTGTGACATGCAATAAAGGAAAAGCAGTGAAATCATACTGGTTTATTTAAATATTCATCCAACACCCTTTTAACTATCCTTTTTCCATTGCATTCCGTCATAATTTTATGCTTACTGTTACTTTTTTAATTTATGCAATAAAAACAATTGTTGGTTTCTTACACAAAGAGAGAGATAAGCAGCAGCTAAAGACTTACAATTGAAATAAAATTTTCGTCCTATTCAAAAGTAACCGAATTTTATAAAAAAAGTTTTAATACAAGAAAAATATTACTAGTACAAGATGAAATCAACCACTATTAAAAAAAAGAAGCGTACTGCTAAATTCATATCCTGAAAGCATTTCTGCAATGATGATTATCAGTGTAAAATACAATACAATTACAATAAATAAAATCAATTGAAATAACATTGCCATAATATATTTTTGTAAAACGATAAAATTTGAAAAATTAAAATTATTTTGATATTTTTAACGCATACCAAATTATTTGTACTAAAAACAACGACTAATTTTAGCAATCCAAATTTTTTCATATCACTAAAATGATTGATTGCTCTATTTGTTGTTATTAAAAGAAATACTCGAAAAATTGTTTTACTTTATTTTTTCTTTCTCTCATAATATTATATAAAACAATCGTAATTACTAAAAGTAACAAATAAGAAATTAGTGATTGAAGTAAATTTTAATAATGTACAGGAATGAAAATGAAATTAAAAAATTATATATCACAAATTTTTATAATTCCAAAATTAAACTGTGCAAGTGTAACCTGTAAATTTTTAAACAAGTAGTTTATAAAACCTATAAAAAAATCTGAATAAAGATGATTTATATGAGATGATGACATGTTAGATTAATTCATTTCTAATATACAAATTTAAGAATTAATGACTCATCTAATAAAAATAAAGTAGATGTGTATGAAATTTTATGTATAATTCAAAATTTTTTACTATACGTTTATTTATTATTGCATTTTAAAACCTATTTATTTCCCATTCTTACTTTTAAAAGCATGAGAGAGAAAACAATTGTGAAATTTAAAAATTCTTTCATAAATAACTACCATTGGATGGATTATAATTACAGTTTTAAAATAATTCGTGCTAAAATAGCTTCTATTAGCGCTGTTGTTGGATGGATTATAATTATAGTCCAATAATTAGTCCGCGTAATATCACAAATGTCCTGTTGAATTTGTGGTTAATAGGCAGATAATAAAAGATTCGATAATCCACCATTATATATGCATATATAATGCTTAAATGATGTTTACATAGTTAAAAATACCGAATTTAATGTCAAACTTTCGAACTTTAGTTCTTATCTTTTCAGTCATTTTCTAAAAAAGAGAGTTTTAAAATTACTTTCAAAATTTTTAAATATATGATTATAAAACTTGATAACCACTATTCGTATTCCTTTTTGAAGCATGCGATTTTTTTGTTTCTTTAAGCATAAATATGAATTCAGAGTAAAATTACGTTACATTTCGTATTACTTTTTTGCATTTAATATTTAGTAATTAGCTTGAAATTCAGAAATTAATTACATCATCCAAAATTGATTGATAACACTATCACTATTTACATGTTTAATCTAAAATTAAATGATTTATTAGTTCCCATAAAGTTGCATAAAATTTTCCTGCCCACTTCCTTTTTCCTGCTTTTGTTAGTTCTATTGATTTATTGTCATCAATCAATTATTGAATTTTTTCTGCTTTTTCAAATAATATTTTCGAGTAATTATTTGGATTAATTTTACGCTATCTTCGAAAAGAAAAAACATAAAATTAAAAAGATGATTAAGATGTTTCATAACTGATATTGTCTGATTAATAATTTCTATGATATGAAATTGTATGCAAGGTAGTAAGAATAATTTCAATAAAATTTCGATTTAAAAAATTTAGGGCCTAAAAAACAAAAGGAAAAGCAAAAGCTTTACTCGAAATTGATGCACGATGAATTGTATTCAAACATGCTATTTACTGCTGCTTGGTTGTTCGTTTGCTGTAGAAATAAATAGAACAAATATTCAGGTAAATTTCACTTTAAGAAAATATATATATTTAAAAAAGGTAAGACTTAAAATACGATCGATATATTAGAACATTAGCAAGCTTTGTAACAGTACTAATTTAACTATCTTTTGTCTCATCTGATTGATAGCAATGATAATTTGTAATGATAAATAGAAAGAAGCAAATGAAAGTTTTATAAATTTCGAATTAATTAGAAATGATTGCATTGCCATTTTTTAGATTAATTGTTATAAATGAGAAAGTGATTGCAAAATTTGTTAGCATTGATAGTATGATATTGATAAAATTTCTTCTTTAGTTTTTTAATGTATTAGAATTCATTACTGTACCGAAAAAAGCAAATATCAAAACGTCATCTTATAAATCAAGAAATAATATATAAGTTAAAACCAATTAAAATTAATTCATTATAGAAATTGAATGAAAGTATAAATTGAATTAATTTTTTTAGAAATAAAAATACTCATATATGCATTTATGACATTCTTAATCTATGATTTTTATTAAACTCACGACAATAATTTTGTTAACCACTAAGAATTAAAACAAGGATCTTTTATGAAAGAGGTCTAAAATGTGAATTAATAAAATATTGAAAGAAAATTGTAAATTGCTGCATTTCAATGTTTCAAGTTAAAGGATTAATAGTGCTTCTCGGAGGGTTTATAAATAAAAAATTACTATGTTAGACTTTTTTTTGTTAATTATATTAGAAAGTAAATTCAAAAATCATTCCAGTAACTAATTATTTCAAATTTCCATTTCTCGAAAGATAAAAATAAATTCATTTCTTTTAAAAATCCAATCAATTATTTACCATCGTTTTTCAGAACAATACTACATATGCTAATGCAACAAAGCTTATGCAACTTGTTAATGATATCAAATTATATCTCAAAAAATTGTACGAATTAAATGAATATTTCCCGGAAGAATTTGTCAAAGGTAAGGATAAAATTGATGAAATTGAACAGGATGCTCGAAAGATGTTAGAAACAATCAATCACATACGAAACATTTGGGATGATGAAGAGTATAAGAAAAATATGGCAATGATTTGTGAAATGTCAGATGAAAAGCAAAATATTCAGGTGTAAAACTTTTCATAATTTATAAGCTATTTCATAATACTGTGCTATAATTAGTATTTGTAATAAATATCCAGAAACTTCTATATCATATTGCAAATTAGATATATACAAATTTTAAATATTATATAAAAAACAAAAAACGATCTTATTTTTAAGGGAAAATGATAACTTTTTCTTCTGATTGTTGTATTAATTGTAATGAACACAGAAGGAAATTTCACGGTTCACGTTTAGCAGAACATTTTCTAACTTTGCATTCAAACTGTATGTAAAATAATTCACTTTAGTTTCTTTTCTTGTGAGTGACATGTCATCAGATATCACCAACCCCGTAACATCTTAGCAAGAAAAATATTTGATCGAGTTGGTGTCTTCCGAACCTTTCGATATATCATGGCTATATCGGCTCAGTAAATATGCAATCATCTGTTAATTCAATGCTTTTGATATTATGCAAAATTACAAGCTTCAAAGATTTAGTCATTCCTTTCCTTCGGATATAATTAATTAATTGCAATTAACATACTTCCGAAATCCAAGCATGAGACAGTCTTTGAAAAAAATTTTTTTTTTGCGAATACGAATTTCTCTTGTTTATGATTAAATTAGACATGTATCCGACCATTTCAAAGTGATAAGTAAAACAACACAATGAATAAATAATTATTGGTAAACAAAAACACAAATTATTTTCCTTTAATGAAGACAATAGACATAACTTATGGTCTCGCTGAGCTTTACTTTGCAAATAAGACAAGATAATAGAAGACAGAAAGACAATGGCATATCACTAAGAAACGCTTGTTCCTTTCGGATCTCATCTACTAGTTGAAATTAAATATTTCCGAAATCCAAACATGAAGCAATATTCACGGAAGGCATAGAAATTTTGTTAAATAAATACCATTGCATCAATAGTTTCATGACAAATAAGGAGTAGTAGCAATCTAGTCTTATTTGTCACGAAACTATTGATGCGGTGATATTTATTTAACAAAATTTCTACGCCTTCTATGCATAGAAATTCTTGCAGAACAATGAACAATGAGAGAAACAAAGATATGCAGAAGATAATATCTAGCAACAAATTTTATTTTTTTTATTGAAA